GGTCTTGCTCTGTTGCCCAGGCTGGAATGCAGTGGCATAATCATAGCTCACTGCAGCCTCAAACTCCCGGCCTCAAGCGATCCTCTAGCCTTCACCTCCCAAATAGCTGAGACTCTAGGCATGCCTGCCTAATTTTTTAATTTTTTTGGAAGGCAGCTATGTTCACCACTTACCACCAATGCTTTTAAAATTTTTTGTAGAAATGGAGTCACACTTAGTTGTCCAGGCTGGTCTTGAACTCCTGGACTTAATTGATCCGCCTCCCTCGGCCTCCCAAAATGCTGGGATTATAAGCATAAATCACCGTGCCTGGCCATCCATACATCTTTATATGAAACCAAGTCTTGTTTTCTGACTTCTGGTGAGATCTCACTTTCCCAGCTGTAAAGCAGGAACTCCCTGAGAGCAAAGCTTGTTCCCCCCACCTCAGAATTTGGGCACCCTGCAGTTAATGCCTGTGTCTCCCCTCTCAGACTGTGATTTGAATACTGGGAACACTCAGAAAGTGCAGGACTATTTACCTCTCTTTTCTGGACTGCACTGGGACCTGTTTGTCAGGCTCTGCTTCACTCTGACCCAGTCAGGGCTGGGTAGTTCTCCAATCCCTCATGTCTTTGCTGAATCAGGAAGTCCTCCCTCCATCCCAGATCAGGACCGGAAAGTTGGCCTTGAAAATGTAACTGGGCAGTTTAACTTCAAAATGCATTTTCAAACCTTTCTTTTCCTTTCTCGAGTCTCAAAATGTAACCCCAAAGCTTACTGTGAAAACCTTTTTTTCCCTCTTCTTCTTCTTCTTAAAATATAGCCTTGAAGTGTACTTTCTTTTTTTGTTTGTTTTGTTTTGTTTGTTTTGAGACAAGAGTCTTGCTGTGTCGCCTAGGCTGGAATACAGTGGCACGATCTCAACTCACTGCAACCTCTGCCTCCTGGATTCAAGCGAATCTTCTGCCTCAGCCTCCTGAATAGCTGGGATTACCAGCCTGTACCACCACACCCAGCTAATTTTTGTATTTTTAGTAGAGACAACGTTTCACCATGTTGGCATGGCACCTGACCCAGAAACTTCAAGTAGACCTCCAGGGATGACTCCTTTAGCAGCTGCTGGAAGGGCTGGACCATGACCCATCCAGGGGCTACTCTTTTTTTTTTTTGAGACGGAGTTTCGCTCTTGTTACCCAGGCTGGAGTGCAATGGCGCGATCTCGGCTCACCGCAACCTCCGCCTCCTGGTTTCAGGCAATTCTCCTGCCTCAGCCTCCTGAGTAGCTGGGATTACAGGCACGTGCCACCATGCCCAGCTAATTTTTTGTAGTTTTAGTAGAGACGGGGTTTCACCGTGTTGACCAGGATGGTCTCGATCTCTTGACCTCGTGATCCACCTGCCTCGGCCTCCCAAAGTGCTGGGATTACAGGCGTGAGCCACAGCGCCCAGCCTCAGGGGCTACTCTTGAGACAGACAGAGCAAGCCTGAAGATCCAGCAGCAAAACTCTGGAGAGTACCTCAAGGTGGCCAGTCAACAAGCTGGGCAGTGTTAAGATGAAGCCAGCCCATGCTCTAGGTGTACTGGGACCCAAGTTAGCCACTGGAACAAGATACACAGACATTGTACTCAGCACAATTTGTGCATGCCTTCCATATCAAGTTTTCCCTTTTTAAGCCCCTGCCTTCAACACCAAAATCAAAGTGCTTGCTTTGGATAGGAATCCAGCCACTTCCCCGTTACTATTTTTGGTTAATAAAATCACTTTCTTTCTACCAGACCTTGTTCTTTTTTTTGAGACAGAGTTTTGCTCTTGTTACCCAGGCTGGAGTGCAGTGGCATGATCTCAGCTCACTTCAACCTCCACCTCCGCCTCTTGGGTTCAAGTGATTCTCCTGCCTCAGCCTCCCAAGTAGCTGGGATTACAGGCACCCACCACCATGTCCAACTAATTTTGTATTTTTAGTAGAGACAGGGTTTCTCCATGTTGGCCAGGCTGGTCTCGAACTCCTGACCTCAGGTGATCCGCCTGCCTCAGCCTCCCAAAGTGCTAGGATTACAGGTGTCAGCCACAGCGCCAGGCCTGCTTGATATTTTGGATAGGAGCTGCATGACTGCAAACCCATCCTATCAGAGGACAAAGCCTCTTCCCCGATCCCCTTTCAACTCACTCTAAAGCCCATAGTCAGTATCCTCCCGGGCCCATCTTTCTCTCTTTCCCTGAGCAAGCATTTCCAGCTATCCTAACCATGGTATTCAGGGCCTGAGCTTTGGCACAACTGCTCTGGAGGCGCACGATGGGTCCTGCCAACACACACTTGCACACAGTCAAACAGCCAAAAGGTGGGGAACAATTGCTGGGTTTGGATTTCAGCCCTGGGGCCGCTGGCTCCACCTCCTGCGCTGAGGTAGGGGTGGGATGGGGAAGGAAGCAATCAGAGGGAGAGAACATTGTTTCAGGACCCAAAGGCCCCTGCCTGGCAGAAGGCCTCTCAAAGGCCGGACTACTTGGATGCGCTCGACTCCTTCCCAGCACTGACTCTGTCTATACCCTGGGGCCCCCACTTGTTGGGCTGACCATAACTGGCTTGGAGAGGCAATGACAGGCCAGAACAAGCAGGGACAGAATTATCCCTTACCTGGTGAGGACAAAGGCCAGCTCTGCATGCCCCTGGGTCTCCACGAAGTCTAGGGCCTACTGGTGCCTCTGCACCCGCTGTTTATTGGGGGCGTGTGGGGTAAGTGACTATGTCTGCCCTGCTGGGCTGTAGGTTGCCTGAGGTCAGGGCCTAGCACTTTTTTTTCATTTGTATTAATTCAGTCACTCATTCAACTCATATTTATTGAATGTTTGGCACTGAGTTGGAATGTGGGTGGGTCGATGGATGTGTGAATGAAGAGTGACGGCCCTTGTTCCCTGTTCTCTGGTCTCTGCACTCACATTTGGTAATGCACAAAACTCTCTGTGTGAAAAGGAGGCTAAGGAAAGAAGAGGGAAACCTGAGAATCCACTCTCGGGGTGAAGGGTGGGGAGGCCAAGA